CTCCAAATTACCCGTGCCAATGACTTTTTGGGCCCCGCCGGTGCCTATGCTACCACACCCAGCCCTTCCTACCGACTCTTGAGGCCGCCGCGAAGGGCTGGAACGGCACAACTGCACCCGGTCACTCCCGACAACCGCGCATGGATCCTATCGGTGTCTCTGTGACACAAGTAGCCGAAATTGACGCCGGCTCTGACAATGAGAGGCAACGCATTTCCCGAGGTCTCTCAGTCGGTTTTACGTTCAGCCATCACGGCGCATTACGTCGCTGACAGTCGGGGCGCTCGGGGACAGCGCCAGAGAGCAGCGTAAGAGCAGAGACGACCGATCGCACTGCGCTGGGCGGGCGGACGGGCACAGCTCAAAGAGCACGGGGCGTGGCAAGCGCCGGAGCGCGCCCGGGTCGGGGCCGGGATGGTCGGGGGGGGGGGGGTGGGGGGGGGAGGCTAGGGCCAGAGGTGATATAAGAGGAGACGGGGAATGCTGAACAAGTGCCGCGGGTGGTAGACGTTAGGCAGAGTGGCGGGGCGCGGCGAGTGCCGAAGAATGGCAAGTGCCTGAGGTGGCGGACATCAGGCAGAGTGGCGGGGCGCGGCGAGTGTCGGAGAATGGCAAGTGCCGGGGATGGCAGACGTTAGGCAGAGTGGCGGGGCGCGGCGAGTGTCGGAGAATGGCAAGTGCCTGGGGCGGCAGACGTTAGGCAGAGTGGCGGGGCGCGGCGAGTGTTGGAGAATGGCAAGTGCCTGAGGTGGCGGACATCAGGCAGAGTGGCGGGGCACGGCGAGTGTCGGAGAATGGCAAGTGCCTGGGGTGGCAGACGTTAGGCAGAGTGGCGGGGCGCGGCGAGTGTCGGAGAATGGCAAGTGCCTGGGGTGGCAGACGTCATGCAGAGTGGCGGGGCGCGGCGAATGTCGGAGAATGGCAAGTGCCGGGGGTGGCAGACGTCAGGCAGAGTGGCGGGGCGCGGCGAGTGCCGGAGAAAGACAATCGATCCGGCTGACGGCTACACATTATTCCCGGTAAATAACACCGACCCGAGAACAATAGCGCTCGCCCGTGCCGCGGTGCGCAGCGCCAATCAATGGCTCGCCAGACATCGTGCCTGTCGTAGCATTCCTGCTCTGAGGCCCCCCGGCACCAGCGACTGATTCCCTCAGCGGCCGCCTCCTCATCGCCCCGCTATCTCCGCCACTGCTAGCTGCGCGCCGGGCGCTTCATTATCGACTAAGGAAACCAGCCATCATCCCAGAGCATGGAAAACTTATTTGTGCGGCAGGTCGCACTCCACGACTGGGATTATCAGTGTTGACAGGGCTGTGAGGCTACCATGTTCCAAAATCATGTTTGCATTAGTCATCAATACGGCTGCTTAATCCGTTACGCAAATTACCGGGTCTACGAATCATCCCAAACGGGGAACTTCCGCGCCAGCAAACAGCAAGCCATAGAAGACCGACCAGGCCGGACGCCGCCGCGCGCTGACACATGCTAATCTTGACCCTCGGTCCCGGACAGAGGGCTCGTTATAGCCTACAGCAGGCACACAGCAGCCTGCCGATTCATGCCACTCGACGGCCAGGTCAAGCTGGCTTTAATCTGCAGGTTAGGCCAGCGCCGTCAAGTAGTCTCCTCCCTTTGTTAACAAACCGCATTGGGAAAAGGGACGGTTGAAAAGTTACAAACGGTTCCGCTGACCGACCCCTCGCGATGCGCTAGTCATGAGCCACAAACGGTCAACTACAAACCACAGCCGTTTGGCGCGACTTCCAAATTGTTCAACTTTCCCAGCACAGCCCCAAACTAAGACAAAGTTGTTGGATAGCGATGGAGAAGCATGCGGCGAATATCGAGCGTTCACCAAATACAACAAAAGCACTTGCCATGCTACGATTGTTTCGAAGCGCGAAATCAACGATGTTTTCTCGATACTCTTTGGCTGCTTAACTTGTCAAGCCTGTTTTAGAGACAACACTCTTGCTGTCTTCTGAATGACACAATTTGGCAAAGCCACCTTAGACTTCCTCAACACGTCACAAGTGATATATCACATATCGCCTTCCACGTCGACCATTTCTCCTTTTCCAACTATGTGGCGCCGTTCCCCTGAGCCGGAGCCGACGGCCCCACCGTCGAGCCTGAGCCCACTGTCGGGACCGCGCCACGGCGGCGGCGCCACGCCACCGGTCGGCTCCCTCCCCGTATCGGATTACCGCACACGGCCGCGCGCATCTGCATACACAGGCAGGCTGGCGGTGTCCGGCCGGCCGGCCCGCAGCGCCGCCCAGCGCCCGGCACATCCCTGCCGTGGCACTGGCGGCCCGGCGCCGGTGCCATGACAGCGTGCCATCCCGCGTGGCCGCACATAATGCCCGCACACGTGTCGATGGTGAGGAAGCAAACCAAAAGCTGCTCGGCACGCCCAGCAATGCAGCACAGCCGCCCACGTGGCCTGCGGGCCGCGCCGCTCCCGGACGCAGCCGGCGACGCAGTAGCCCGCCCAGGTCACCGGGAAAGCCCAGCCGACCCCGGTCGCAGCGCCGGCCGGCGCCCTCGCCTCTAATGAACGACTTTTCGTATTCAGCGCCGCCCCGACGAACAATGACGGCGAACTAACCACAAATTAGCGGGCCGAAGCGGCGGGGCCGACGAGCGCACGCGAGCGGCCGCCGCCGGCGCGGCGGAGTTCGCCGGCCTGTGTCGGCCCGCCGCCGCACACAGCCGGCGCCGCAGCCTCATTCCGCTCAATACCGGCCTCATTCGTGCGGTAATTTGTATGCAAAAGAGCAAACAGAAGAGGCTAATTCGCGGCGGGCGGTGGCGGTGACCCGGCGCGGTCAGCGGTGACCCGGCGCGGTCAGCGGTGACGCGCTGCTGAGCCGCCACCCGCGGGCGGTGGCGGTGACCCGGCGCGGTCAAGCGGTGACGCGCTGCTGAGCTGCACCCGCGGGCGGTGGCGGTGACCCCGCGCGGTCAGCGGTGACGCGCTGCTGAGCTGCACCCGCGGGCGGTGGCGGTGACCCGGCGCGGTCAGCGGTGACGCGCTGCTGAGCTACAACACCGCGGGGCCGGGTGGCGGTGACCCGGCGCGGGGTCGGCGGTGACGCGCTGCTGAGCCGCACCCGCGGGCGGTGGCGGTGACCCGGCGCGGTTAGCGGTGACGCGCTGCTGAGCTGCACCCGCGGGCGGTGGCGGTGACCCGGCGCGGTCAGCGGTGACGCGCTGCTGAGCTGCACCCGCAGGCGGTGGCGGTGACCCGGCGCGGTCGGCGGTGACGCGCTGTTAGCTGCACCCGCGGGCGGTTGCGGTGACCCGGCGTTCGGTCGGGTGTGACGCGCTGCTGAGCTGCACCAGCGCGTCGGGTCGTGACCCGCGCGGTCGGCGGTGACGCGCTGCTGAGCCATGCACCCGCGGCGGTGCGGTGACCCGGCGCGGTCAGCGGTGACCGCGCGGTGCTTGGGAATGTCGGCGGTGACCTGCCGCGGGCGGTCGCGGTGACCCGGCGCGGTCAGCGTGACGCGCTGCTGAGCTGCACCCGCGGGCGGTGGCGGTGACCCGGCGCGGTCAGCGGTGACGCGCAGCTGACTCTGAGCTGCACCGCGGGGTCGCGGTGACCCGGCGCGGATCAGCGGGTGCGCGCTGTTAAGCTGCACCCGCGGGCTGTGGCTGTGACCCGGCGCGGCAGCGGTGACGCGCCTGCTGAGCTTGCACCTGCTGGCCGGTGCCAGGCGACACAGGGCCCACCCGGCGGCGCCCATCACGGCCCTTGGTCCGGATTCAGCTCCGACCCAGGGCCGGATTTTCGCCCGGACCTGGAACTCCTCCTGGTGACTTTGCGGCCAGTCCCGGCAGAGTGAAGAACTGCAGCCCGTCACTGTACGGGTCGCCAGCGGATCCGCCGGCCGCGCACTGACCGCTCGTCAGATTTCAGAGTATACTCCTGAGCTACCGAGCCGACGTCGGCACGGCCGGACCGAAAGAGAGTTGAGCTCGCATTCGGAGTCGGGTGATTCCAGCTCAGGTGAGTCGTGGGTGGGGCCCTACATGCTGGAGCACTTGCCGGCACCTCAGTGACATGCGGGCAACTCGGCACCTCCAGGGGCAGCCAGCCCCATCACGCGACTCGGCGCTGCGCAATCAGGCCTCTCCGGGAAACAGTCTCGCAACGACAGCGACGGAGCAGGTAGGCATACTGGTGCAAAGAAAATGGCCCGACGATACTCGAACGCCGCATTCAACACAACGGCCAGCCAGCTCTGCCATGGATTCTCACGGCTCATAGTTCTCTGAAGCTAAAAATCGACGCACCCAATCGCAGAGTTGTTAGTTCCCGCACTGAAACAGAATCGTATCGTTCAACAACTTCCAGGCGACGGTGATTTATATGATGGCCAAAGTCCCGGTAAGGGGACTTAAGCAATCTAGCGGGGCGTTCCAGTGCAGAGGAGTTACCGAACTCTCGGCGCCACCTCCGCTGCTCGTCAGAGGCTCACGGCAGCTGGGCCCTCTCTGAGAAACAACTCCGCCCGCCGCGCCCGCTCGTGTCCACGTCCGCAGGAGTCCCAGTGTTCCCATGAGTTCCAGCGCGGAGGAGTTACCGAGCTCCCGACGCCACCTCCGCTGCTCGTCAGAGGATCACGACGGCTGGGCCGCTCTCTGAGAAACAACTCCGCCCGCCGCGCCCGCCCGTGTCCACATCCGCATGAGTCCACCTGTCTCGCCGCCGTCCTCCGCACGCCACAGCGCCAACGCTGAGCCCATGGCCCACTCTTCGGCTGTGTTGCCGGTCTGTACTGGCAGCGGCCGCGGCCGTCATCCGGGAGGCCGTCGGCGCGGGGAGGAGCAGCCCGTGCGCCGGGAGGGGTGGTCCGCGCGCCGGGAAGAGCGGCCCGCGCGAGCTGGGAGGAGCGACCCGCGCGCGCCGGGAGGGGCGGCCCGCACGCCGGGAAGAGCGGCCCGCGTGTGTCGGGAGGAGCGGCCCGCGCCCTGGCCGCCAAACTCACCTTGTGCTTCGCGGTCATCTTGGCCACGTCCTCGGCGTCGCCGACCACCACGGGGCGCTCACACATGCGCGTAATGAGCGCCAGCCAGTCGGTGATCTGCCGGCGGATGAGATCAGGTCGGGTCAGGCCAGGTCAGCTGCCGGTGGGTATGGGCAGACAGAGTAGTTCCACCCGGGCGAGACGACCCTACGGTCGGACGGCGCTGTCGCAGAGCACGTGAAAACGGCGCCTGAAACCCGCCCCGAGTCGGCGGCGTCCCTAACGAACGCAAAAGATTCAGTCACTATGGTTTTAGGAGGGCCCGGCAGAGTGCGAGTCAGACAAATTTGTTAGATCACTGAACGCCATGTCGCCAGGTGGTAACGGCGATTCGTTCAAGGAAAATGGCTTGTTAACACATTCCACATGCCAGCGCCGCCCGGATACGGCCAAGAAGCCCAAACCCAGCGCAAAGAGTTCTTCGCTGCAGCTGATGAGCCGATTTACGAATCGGCCAAGTTGCGCACTCCAGCCAGCCCGTTCCCAGCAGTCCCAATTTAACCCATCGGAGCCGATGCACTCTGGGAACCGGCCAAGTACGCCGGCGCGGTGTCTGGGGCCATCGACTCATCACATACACCGCGGGCATGCGGCCTCTGCCCAGGGCAGTTACAGTCATGGCGTCGACACGGCCCACAGCGCGGCTTCGCCACAATTCGCCGGCAGAAGCTGTTCAAAGTAGCGCTGACCGGAAGGCGTGGGACGATGAATTATTACTGAAAACTCCGAACGAAACAGCTGCTGAACGAAGCCCGACAGCTGTTGAATAAATCAGGCCCAAGCACGATATGGGTGACTTCCGCCCAATTTGCGCGCACATGTGCTGATAATATCGTTCCACCTTGTACAACCCACTAGCGTTCACACCCACGCCACATTTATCGGGAGTGTGCACAGCGGCGGACGCCGCGCGGTGGCAGGGCAGAGACATCTGCAGCCGGCGAGCGCGCGCGCGCCGGCTGCAGACGGCTCGCTGCGTCATCTCCCGGCACGTCTTGTAGAGCGGGCTCAGGGGCGGCCTCGACCACCGCACCGTGCCTTTTCCAGGTAAGCTCAGTTACAGTAACACGGCCCCAATATAGTCCGCAATCTCCGCGGGCGCACGGCGCAGTACACGGCGACCCCACCCCGCTCCGAGACGTCCGCGGGCTCCCCCAGACTTCTGACGGGCTCAACCGGCGCGCACCGCCGCCGGCCGGGCGGTCACACGCCGGCGGCGGGCGCACGGCGCGGTACACGGCGACCCCACCCCGCTCCGAGACGTCCGCGGGCTCCCCCAGACTTCCGAGGGCTCAAGCAGCGCGTACCGCCGCCGGCCGGCAGGTCACACGCCGGCGGCGGGCGCACGGCGCGGTACACGGCGACCCCACCCCGCTCCGAGACGTCCGCGGGCTCCCCCAGACTTCTGACGGGCTCAACCGGCGCGCACCGCCGCCGGCCGGCAGGTCACACGCCGGCGGCGGGCGCACGGCGCGGTACACGGCGACCCCACCCCGCTCCGAGACGTTCGTGGGCTCCCCCAGACTTCTGACGGGCTCAACCGGCGCGCACCGCCGCCGGCCGGGCGGTCACACGCCGGCGGCGGGCCGCCGGCAGCAGGTCCCGGCAGGCGAGCGAACCGACCCTGGCCGGGCCTCACCCTCCATTCCGGGCGGGCGGGCGGGCGGGGCACTCACCTGGGTGATGCTCTTGTCCAGGCTGCCGACCAGCGCCGACGGGCTGAAGGTGCGGTGTCGCGTCAGAGGCGAAGGGAAGCTGGGCGGCAGCGAGCCCGCCCGCCACGCCTCCGCCGAGTCGGCGGAGTCGGGTGACGATGGCGACACCGGCGCCGCGGACACCGGCTGAGCCTCTGCAACACACAGCCGCTGTTAGGGGTCCGGCGACACTGGGGAGCCCAGCAGGGCTGGGCCTCCACCCAACAACAACAGTCATGCAGTTATTACCAGTGGCGCTACCCGTGAAAGCGTCAAGGATGAGAGCGTCAAGAGATGCAAGCCACCAGGACGTGGCCAGCGCCCGACGTCATGGACCCGTCCTCAGCTGCCGGCATCTTCGAAGGCGTTCGCATTCTCCAGAGGCGTTCCTGAGGACGTGGCTAACACAGAAGCCTAGTGGTTGCCTCGGCTGCTGTATAGTGTCAATGTGTAGTGGCTACGTGCGCGGCCGACGGTATGTTTGTGAACCCTGTCATTTGTCGGTGATTCGGTGCTTTTATTTATAAGTGCATACATGATTCGTACATCGTAAACCACGAATTCAGGCCATTATCAGCGACATCATGCACGGTTAACTAAAAAATAGATGCACACGCATAAAAAGGTGACCAAAATGGGTGTGTTGGTTCTAGTACGGAATGCATGGCAACAAGCCGCGGGGAAGTGGACCCCGAGTGCTGGTATGCCTCGGGCTGCATTCATATAGATTCCAGTAAAAGCATGCCATTAAATAATTACGCTGCTTTCGCATGCGCTACCTTAGAGACGATCAGCTGGAGCGCGGCTGACAATTTGCCTGTCTGACTGCAGCTAACGCGGGCACCGCTGGAGCGGCCTCCGGGCGGGTGACGTACGCCGCCCCGTGCACCGACGGCCAGCCGTGCCAAGACAGGTCACACCTGTCCCGGCCGCCGCGGCCGTGTACATAAACACACACGTTCGCGGCATTCCGCGCCGTCCACGCCTCGACTGTATGTACACAGCCAGGAGAGACGCGTCGGGCACCGGGCCGAGCCCAGCATCAGAGACGTCCCGTCCCGGACCGGCCTCGGCGGGAAAACAGCGCCAGACACCGGGCCGAACCAGACGGCGGTGACCGTGGCGGCGATGTCCCCACCCCAGGATGGAGTCAGGGTCTGCACATGGTGCCGTCGGCAGCCAGCATGCCAGCTCCAGGGCCGTCGCCGCCGCGGGTCACGGCGCTGAGCGGACGCAACTGTCCATCAGAAGTGCTCCCAGGCCTCGGACCGTCCGCCGCCGCTCTAGCCACCAGCCAGGGCAGCTATCCGGCATGCGTGCGCCACGTCTGCCGCTGGTGAGCAGCTGCCGCCCGCGACAGCTGTTCGGTCTCATGTTCTCAGCTGCTGTCTGCCTTAGCACACAGCGCCGGCCGCGGGAGAGGACAGGCTTGCCTCAGCACGCAACACCGGCCGCGGGAGAGGACAGGCCTGCCTCAGCACACAGCGCCGGCCGCGGGGGAGGACAGGTCTGCCTCAGCACACAGCGCCAGCCGCGGGAGAGGACAGGCGTGCCTCAGCACACAGCGCCGGCCGCGGGAGGGGGACCGGCCGCGTGTAAACACATCGCGCCGACCGCGGGAGAGGACAGGCTTGCCTCAGCCCAAAGACCCGACTGTGGGAGAGGACAGGCTTGCCTCGGCCCACATCCCCGACTGTGGGAGAGGACAGAGCTGCCTCAGCACACAGCGCCGACTGTGGGAGAGGACAGGCTTGCCTCAGCCCACAGCGTCGACTGTGGGAGAGGACAGGGCTGCCTCAGCACACAGCGCCGACTGTGGGAGAGGACAGGCTTGCCTCAGCCCACAGCGTCGACTGTGGGAGAGGACAGGGCTGCCTCAGCACATAGCGCCGGCTGTGGGAGAGGACAGGGCTGCCTCAGCACACAGCGCCGACTGTGGGAGAGGACAGGCTTGCCTCAGCACACAGCGCCGGCCGCGGGAGAGGGACCGGCCGCGTGTAAATACGGCCGCCGGCCGACAGAGTCGGCTGCGATCAGGCCACTTACGCGGCCGCAAAGCCGATTACTCGTGATTGGCTGCCGGCGCCGGCCCACGCTGGGCGTCAGTGTCCTGCTCGGTCCGCTGAGGTCTGCCGGGGCTGGGCGGGAGCCGGACGACGGCACTTCCGACAAGAGTCTGGACGCGGCCACCAGTCACTTCCCAGTAAGCAATGCTACTGATGACGGCAAAACGCTGCACTTAACGACGCTAATACCGACAAGTGCATAGCAAGGTGAAAAATATAACTACAGACGAGATCACCCAGCCGGAGACCCAGCATTGCACCGCCACGAGACTGCTCGGCAGCATACTGTGCAAGGACCGACCGGGGACGGCGACGGCGGCAGACCGAGCTGACCGGCACCGCAGCGGCCATCGCCAGCAGCCCGAGCCGAGCCGAGCCGAGCCGAGCCGAACCGAGCCGAGCCGAGCCGAGCCGAGCCGAGCCGAGCCGAGCCGAGCCGAGCCGAGCCAAGCCGAGCCGAGCCGAGCCGAGCCGAGCCGAGCCAAGCCGAGCCGCGCCGCGAAGCCGTGCGGCCCGGCCCGGCTCGGCTCGGCTCGGCTCGGCTCGGCTCGGCTCGGCTCGGCTCGGCTCGGCTCGGCTCGGCTCGGCTCGGCTCGGCTCGGCTCGGCTCGGCTCGGCTCGACTCGGCTCGGCTCGGCTCGGCTCGGCTCGGCTCGGCTCGGCTCGGCTCGGCTCGGCTCGGCTCGGCTCGGCTCGGCTCGGCTCGGCTCGGCTCGGCTCGGCTCGGCTCGGCTCGGCTCGGCTCGGCTCGGCTCGGCTCGGCTCGGCTCGGCTCGGCTCGGCTCGGCTCGGCTCGGCTCGGCTCGGCTCGGCTCGGCTCGGCTCGGCTCGGCTCGGCTCGGCTCGGCTCGGCCTCGGCTCGGCTCGGCTCGGCTCGGCTCGGCTCCGGAGGCCGACAAGTCCCGGGATCGATGGCCGCCGTCCCGCGGCCGCTCCCCGGCGGCCATGAATAAATGCCGTCGGCTTTATCGTTCGTCGTTGAGTCGCGCGGCACCCTTTGGCCACACCTGCGGTCCAGCCCGGCCCCGCGTGACACGTGACGGACCGGGCGGCCGCGCCGCCGACCGCACTGCATGACCCTGCCCGGCAGGCTGGCCGGCGGCCAACACGCACCGCGTCAGCTATACACTACGGCCCATTGCATCACGCGAAGGCACAGTGCACCAAGCCCTGTTGATGGTGGACCACTATGAGCGCAAAGGAGCGTAAGTAAACATGCACGGACCATGCGGAGTGCAAATCGATAGCACCCATGGGTCGGACGACAGTCGTGCACACAACTGTGACTTCCCCAGGTCCATCCATGACGCCTTAGTGTGCAAATGCAGTGTTATACCACCTTCAACACGTGACCGATTCCAGCGTTGAAGCGACGAGCTCTACAATCGCATACACACGGCAAGTGGCCCTCAAGGACCGCACAGCACCTAAGCACCGCCGGAGTTAGTCACAGCCAGGCCATGCTGGACGGCGCCGGCCGCGGAACGCTCGCCGTCCCGCCCACCGAGCGCGCTGTTAGCCGCGTGTTACCCCACGCCGTCACACCATCGTTACGCGGAGCGTAGGAGCCGCGCCGCAAGCCGGAGCCGGAGCCAGTGCCGGAACCGCGGCGGGAGTCGGGACCGCGGCGGGCGCCGGAGTCACGGCGGGAGTCGGAGTCGCGGCGGGAGCCGGAGTCGCGTCGGGACTCGGAGTTGCGGCGGGAGTCGGAGTCGCGGCGGGAGCCGGAGTCGCGGCGGGAGCCGGAGTCGCGTCGGGACTCGGAGTCGCGTCGGGACTCGGAATCGCGTCGGGACTCGGAGTCGCGGCGGGAGCTGGAGTCGCGGCGGGAGCTGGTCCGGGAACCAGCGTCGGAGCTGCGCCGGCCGCTGCCATAGCCGATGTCGATGTAGTAGGGCTGCACCGAGGAGCGGCGCCGCTGCCGGCCATCGGCGCGCGGCACCTCCAGCCGGCAGAGTGAGTGTCGGCGCGCGCCGTGCACGTCGTCGCTGCTGCCGCGCGGCGCCGCGCGCCGGCTCCGCTCCTTGCCCTTCTTCACCACCTTGTAGAAGAGGAACATGGTGTCGTCTGCGCGGCACCGCGACGCCCGGCGGCGGCCGCGCTGTCCCGCCGGCGTCGCCGCACTTCACGCCACCGCGCCGGGCGCGCGCACACGGCGCGGCCGAGCCCCAAGCGAGACGCACTGGCTGGACGGCGGCGGCGGCGGCGGCGCTGCCAGCGATCGGCGCTGACTCACAGCCGACAAACACGGCCGCTGCCGGCGCCGATCGTCGTCCCGCGGCCGGCCGGCTCGACTTGGCACGCGGCGGCCGCGCGCGCGCTCCGCTCGCACCGCCACGCGGCTGCTACTACCGCTGCGGCTGCGGCGGCGGCGGTGGCGGTGGCGGCGACATTGACCAGGGCCGGCGCGATGCGGCCATTATTTGACGCCTCGCTGCCGGCGGCTGCGCGCAGCGGCGGTCGGCGGCAGGGCAGCCGCGGACCGGACCGCGACGTGAATCGGACAGCTGCGGGCTGAACCGTGTCTGGGCGCCGAGCCAAGACCGCTCGGACAGAGGCCAGGAGCGACGCGCTCGAGTCCCAGGTCGCCACCGGTTCGGCCCATCCGCAGCGGAGCGAGCGACGGCGTCAGAGGTCCGGCGCATTTCTGCCTCGCTTTCACTTTCTCTCTCTCTCAATCTTGTTCGTCCCGATTGACTTTTGCAAAAACACGCACACTCGCTGTCTCTTTCCCGCTCTCCCGCTCTGTTGCGCAGCAGAGTCGTCGGCGGGAACGATGGCCAACAAACGACCATTCCAATGATACAATGGCTCTCCATCTGGCAGTTATTACTCGCCCTGCTCGTCAGCTGACGGCAAGAGGCGGTCAGCGAAGCCGCGGCCGCCGCCGGCCGCCGACGCACCGCCGAGGACTCTCGGAGCGACAGCGGCAGGCGCACCGCGGCCGCCGCGGGCCGCCGACGCACCGCCGAGGACTCTCGGAGCGACAGCGGTCAGCGAAGCCGCGGCCGCCGCCGGCCGCCGACGCACCGCCGAGGACTCTCGGAGCGACAGCGGTCAGCGAAGCCGCGGCCGCCGCCGGCCGCCGACGCACCGCCGAGGACTCTCGGAGCGACAGCGGCAGGCGCACCGCGGCCGCCGCCGGCCGCCGACGCACCGCCGAGGACTCTCGGAGCGACAGCGGCAGGCGCGCCGCGGCCGCCGCGGCCGCCGCGGGCCGCCGACGCACCGCCGAGGGCTTTCGGAGCGACAGCGGCAGGCGCGCCGCGGCCGCCGCGGCCGCCGCCGGCCGCCGACGCACCGCCGAGAACTCTCGGAGCGACAGTGGCAGACGCACCGCGGCTGCCGCGGGCCGCAGACAACCAAGATTCCCTCACAACTACGTCCAATCGCAGGCGACTTAGCATCCAGCTCAGTCACGACATCAGAGAGTCGACCTGATGGGTGATGGAGATACGGACCGCTAGCCGGACCGCCAGCCGTACGCCGGCCTCGCCGGCGGATGACACCGCTCCACAGGCAGCACGGCGGACCGAGTCCGGCGCCGCCCGGCTGCCGAGCGCCGGTCCGTGCCGACGCCCCGTCTCCCGTCCCGCTCCACCGACATGCAGCGGTCCAGTCCCCGCGTCCGCACCCCCGCCTCCCCCCCCCCCCCGCCCCGTGTTAGGGCCGCAGCCGAGGGTTGGCGGCGGTTGGACACACGGCACACGGCACACGGCACACGGCACACGGCACACGGCACACGTCACACGTCACACGTCACACGTCGCACGGCACACGGCACGGCACGTGATCGGCCGTCTTCTCGTCAGCGCCATGCGGCAGTCACTCACGGGCCCCCGGCCGCAGCAGCCTGGACACGTACACGCGCGGCTCCACGTGCACTATGGCCGCCGTCACACGCTTCAGCGCTGAGAAGGACGCGCGCGTGCCCGACACCGTTAGACACGCTGGTATGCCACACGCGCGTTTGAGACACACCGGACACACGCAGATGACAGCCGCTGAAGCGCGTCTGGCCCGCGACAGCGCTCATCTGAGGGTCACTGGCGCGCGTGGTTCGCGAGCACCTATTTTAGGCACGCACACATACGCAAACATTTAGTGGCATGGAGCATGTGAAAATACCACCAAACAGAAGTACCACACAACGGTGTCGCTACAAGGCCTAGTGTAACCGGGGAGACCCCTCCCCGACCTGACCGTGGCTCAGCGCAGTCACCCCTTGACTGCTTAGCCACCGTACGCAGCCGGAAGCCCAAACCGAGACCTGCCACAGGCATCGGGCATGCGGCGAAGGTGACAAGCTGCTAGGCCCGCACGGAGTCCTACAGGCCTCGCGCCCCCCAAGGTATCCTGGCCAAAGTGAAGTGTTGGGACCCGTCGCGACTGACCCACACGACACGCCCCTCAGCCACCAGGATTCCATTAACCCGGGGACTCGTGAGAGGAGGCATGGCGACCCCGATAACACGAGAATGAGGCGTGGCGAGCGGGCCGGATGCGGGAATGCAGTTGATGGGGAGGGAGCAGGAGCTCACGTACCGGCAGGGTCGCTAGACCCTGAAATAAACAGCTAGCACTATCCACCCGTTACCGGAGCAGGACCCGACAGGACGCTACTCCCTACACCAGCCGAACCCAGCGCCCCTGCGTGGGTGGCGGCCCTTTACCGGAGCGGGACCCGACAAGACGCTACGCCCTACACCAGCCGGACCCGGTGCCCCTGCGGACACCCGTGCGAACACCCGTGGATGGCGATCCTTTACCAGAGTGGGACCAGACAGGACGCTACTCCCTACACCAGCCGAACCCAGTCCCCCTGTGTCGGTTGCGGCCCGACAAAGCTGGCACCCGTGGTACCAATAGACAGCAGCCACAAGTAAGCACGGTCTGTGAAGCCACTATGATGCTCGAATTTGGCTAATGGCATATAAGGCACGGGAGAACACTAAGCCTTTCTGGCCAATAGAGAAATTATTCGACAAAGTATAGCACGCTGCTGGAGAGCGTGTTCCAGTCTTTTCGCAACCGAGGCCTACTGACACTTTGGCCTACGACCTATTGAAAGGCGCCAAAGTGACAGTACGATGAGCTTGCAGCGAGCCCAAAGCGTCAAAGGCGCCCAGTGTGACATACAGAGGACGAGTCATTACATGAGCTAGTGAGTCATTTCGTAATGGCATAATTCAGCGGCACTATTTGGTAGGCGCCAAGTAGCATCTACAGCAAATCGCAACCCGAGAATCAGACGAAACAAAACACGCCATGTGCGGGGTAATGGCACAGCAAGAAAGTGGGCAAACGGAACATTTTGCAGCGGGCTTAACGTTCAGCCATAACTCGAGGGAGGCACTCGGCCCTTCACGTACGGAAGAGAACATGACTGCGCCACTCCAAGCGGCCGTATTTGATAGCAATATGCTGATACAACATTGACGTTGAAGGTGAACCATGTTGTATGTATTGCAGGATGCTGCACTGAAATGCCAACAGCGGCTTTACCATTTTGTATTCGCCAGTTCATTAGACAAATTCCTAATGGCGCATAATGTAGTCCCACGACAGACGGCGGCGCTGCAGCACACCGCCGCTTCGCAGCTGGACGCGGGCTGACCCCAGCCATCGGCGTGCTGACTCCAACGGCGACGGCACCCCACGACGCGGGTCGGCAGCGCGCTGCGACCGCGCGCCCGCTCCGGTCCGGCCGGCTCTGCCAGCCTGAGCGAGCCACCTCACGCACGTCTCCTCGCATTGCTCACCGCGGCGCGGGGCGGCAGCGCACGGCGACCGCGCGCCCGCTCCGGTCCGGCCGGCTCTGCCAGCCTGAGCGAGCCGCCTCACGCACGTCTCCTCGCACTGCTCGCCGCGGCGTGAGCAGCCGTCACCCGCAGCCCGTGTCACGCCTTCTCATGCCAAGACGCCAGTCACGCCTTCTCATGCCAGGACGGCGCCGGAGCGGCGGGGCCACGCAGCGGCGTACACGCCTCAGCGGCGCACAGCCATCCCAGGGCCGTCACCGCCGCCATCAGAGGACGCCAGCGCATGCCAGGCTAAGCGCGCCGCCTACGTACGCACTGGCGCGGACTACCGCCAATCAGCTGGGACAGTGAACTGTGCATTCAGTGTCGGGAGGCGCCCAGCACTGCACGTGACTCGCTCCACCACAGCATGGCTCAACACCTTGGGTCCGCTCGCCGCTGAATGACACAAGGCAAGCGTGGTGGTCGTCGTTAGTACGAATGTACCTCTATGTTACTGCCCTATGTTTTAGTGTTCGTGTCTGATCCCGGTCGTTGCACCGTGTTTGGAGGAAATCAAGTCAATACGGCTCGGTGGCATGTTAATGATCCATTAGCAGCAAAGGTGGGAAACAAATAACCTACGAAATAATACTGTTTAAGGTACTTTACCACAAACACCAGTGAACACTGCAGCAAGGCAGTCCGGCCATGCTGAAGGTCAGGTTCTGCAGCGAGCCATAAAGGACGAGCGCTCGGTGGCGGCGGCCCACTCACTGGATTGCCACCGGTTGGAGAACGGTGAGTCTGCCTCCCCCCCCCCCCCCCCCCCCCCCTCCCTCCTTCGCCCGCCGACGCGGCCGTCAGCCCGTCGGCTCCGGAGACCTCTCCACGCCGTGTCCCGTACGGATTATTACATCCACCCCAGGGGCAGCTGGCAGGCCATCGTGACATACTTGTCAGCTCATATCACATTCATGTTCCATCCTCAAAATGACATTCTAAATTTCACACTGGTTTCGGTATTTTGCCAGCGCGAAAAAAAATGCATCCATATGCGTTAAATGGAAAGCACTTACGGACTGTACTTACGTTTTATTTCATAAGTATGCACGCGGCGGTTAAAGCCTCGGAGGGACATGTTTTTTTCTGAACTTCGCCGGACGGGGCCCCAGACCCTTTCCTGCCGCCCCTCGCCCCCCTCCCCCACACCTCCAGGAATGGCTGAAAACGCAAGAGCCACGCGGAAGCAACGCCGGAAGTCTCGCGGTATCAGCAGCAGCTCATATATTTCTAAATACTAGGTTAGATCGGCTATAATTTACTAACAACCAAATGGAGCGGAGAGCGGTGTAACGCAGGTAACTGCCAGTAACTGTGGTCAACATAAATTGCAGCCAAGAAGCTACCCCTTTGAATGAAAAGCGATGTGAAAAGCCAGCCCAACACATTACAGTCAGCTACTGCATATCAAGTAGTTGATCTCATTTCGTAAACCGCCACATCGCCCACAGTAGGCTTGTCTGCAACAGCTGGCGACTGCAAAATGGGCTGTCCAAAACCGACTAACACGCAACAGCATGAAGAGGGTATGCATGTTATGCGACAAGCCATGTCATCGGGCCCAAGAACACCAAATGTGGCGGACATGAACCCGACGAATACGTCGTCACTCATGACGCCTTAAAGGTGCGGTTCTAGAATTTTGACAGATGTAAATGCATGGTAAACCCAGCAGCTTAAACATTTAACGTCACACTTAAATGTACAAAACATTGTCATAACTGCGGAGCTTATGAATTTTATGTCACCTGGAAATTGTTCAAACGCGATAATGCAACAAATAACCACGGCAACCGTGAAACTATGCATATTGTGCCAGCATCACGAGCTACACACCATAGCAGAGTGAAACGGTACAAACTCCCCATCACAACACGTCCGCGAACGGAATCGACGCTGGCGTCCGACCACCGTCGCAGTGGTAAGCTCAGACCGAGGGCATGTGTGGCGGGGCGCTTAATCAGGCGGAGCAAGCCAATGTACTAGAAGCACTTCGCGAACGAAGGCAAAGGACGCGTGAACGCGCCAGATTTCTAGCTTAGATAATGAGGCCGGGGACGGGCGACCGCGCAAGGTTTCTGTGTAGTATCCGCACCGTACCTATTATTCGCCCACTGGAAAAGCCTGACCTTGATACACTGCCGCTGAAATCAATACCAGCTGCCAGCCATATCAGTCGATGCGTTGGGCAACATTGTCTCAGCTAACGCGCGCAACATTGTCACAGCTAACGCGCTGGACAGGCAAGATAACGACAGTCCCATCCCACGCGGCGTATTTGCGTGTCAGTGGCAATGAGGAGCCACCACGTCAGCGAAAGCAGATTACGTAACACGCACACAGGTCGCTAACATGCCAAGCGCACTTCGCGGGCGTCCGTTGTGTACATGGTGATCATAGGCCGCGTCCACGCGCGCCGCCGGACGACAGCCGCGACACCCGACAACCACAGCGACAGCGGAGCTTATCAGAGGGCGACGAATGGATCTCACCTTCCTTGATGAACGGCTTGTCGATTTTCCGTCCGGTGGCGGTGCCTGGCGCGGGCGGGCCGGCCGCCGGGGTCGGTCGCGCCGCCGGAGCCGCCGCCGCCGGCGTGACCTTGACCTGGCGGCCCTCGGAGACGGCCTGCAGCTGCTGCCAGGCGGTCTGCAGGGCGTCCACGCGACCCTGCGGCGGCGGCCATTGATCGGCGTCACGGCCGCGCGCGCGACAACAGGCGGCGCCGCGCGGGCCGCACCGGAGACGGGCGGGCCGCGCCTCATTAGGCGCGCCGACAGCCGTCATCGGAGCGACTTTTCGTCGCGGCTCTCGCGGTCTAACGATTCAATCAGTGGTAATTGGAATCAATACGGGGCGGCGGCGCCCGAGCTCCGAGCTCTGGCGGGCTCCGAACCGACAGAGGGGACCAGGCGGGCGCCGACCAGCCGCCGTCGCCGGCGCACGCTCCCGAGCCGCGCCACGACGCCGCGCCAGACCGGACAGCACGGCTGAGTGCCCAGCGTCGACACCAGCGTAGGCACCGCACAATGTTGCTGCTATGCCGGCTCTAAACCAAGCCAGACATTGATGGTGAACTTATCCGGAGCCGGCGGCCGTCGGGTGGGCGTGGGGCGGGCTGTGCCGGCGGAGCCGCCGCGTCACCGCTCGCTCCGGCACCTGCACACACCTTGACGTCCTCGGCCACCGGCTGGCCGGCCGCTTGGCAGGCCTGCTCCAGCTGCTCGTACTGGGTCACGACCGCGCGCCACTCCTGCTGCTTCTCTCCCAGGTCGGCCGCCAGTAGCTGCCGACACAAGCGAAGGAGGGGGGGGGGGGGGCGTTACAGCCCGACACGCGAGCGCCGACACACAGGGAGGGGGAGCCGTCCCACCCTGGCACACAACAGCTGCCGACAGGCACGGGGACAGCGCGAGCAGTAATGGGCGGTCACAATGAAACACACAGCAATGCCGAACAATCACACCCGCAACAGCTAGCTATCCCCCAGTGACCCGCCGCCAGGCCGCGCGCGTGTCCCAGGAGGCGTCTGAGCCACTGCCAGACGGCCGAGCGGCCGAGCGGCCGAGCGGCCAGCCCGCCCAAACAGACCCGTCTGAAGCCCCACTCGGCCGCCCACCCGCGACCTGCCGCACCCCAGCCACCGGTCGTCGTCGCGGCGGGACGTTATTGGATTGGAGGCCGACACTCATGCTGTCGCCGCCCGCCTCGCCGTCCGGGCGACAGGCCGGGCTTATGAGCCTGCCAAACCCGCCTGGCGTCGTCACGCAGAGAATAGAGAACCGTGGCCGATCGCACCACGAAGGAACGGACCCTCTTGTCAGCACGGCCATGTCACGTGAGCGCATGCAGGCGCCAAGACCTGCCGCATCCGTCACCGGCCCGTGCCACGTGGCCCGCGCAGCGCGGCCGCCTGCTCACCTGCTGCTGGTCGGTACGCTTGTCGGTGCCCCAGCCGGCCACCTCGTTGGTGCGGCGCTGAGACCAGTCGCTGAGCGCGGTCAGGCCCTGGTAGAGCCGCTGCACCACCGACAGCTGCTGCTGCAGACGGGCCGCGTAGCCCGGCAGCGTGTCGCCCACCTGAGGTCGCAAGTCAGGTCAGGTCAGGGTCACATACAGGTCACGGCACACGGCACCGGCAGCCCACGTATCAGATGGGCTTCCATCACGGACAGGTCAGAACGTCAGCGTCACCGACAGGTCAGGAAGTCAAGGCTTCAGGTCACAAGGTCAAGTTCACAGGCCGGACAGCGTCACACGTAGGCCTAGGCCACGCACATGTCTGGCTCATTGACGCGTTAGGGAGACCGACGCGTGTCTCACATGCGTCAGTGTCACTAACAAGTCGGGGTCACACGCACGCACTGACCGCTTATTCGTATCTATACGGGTCAGCTGTCACATCCGGGGGATGCGGGTATGGCTGAAGCCCGTCCGAATCACTGACACTAGGCCTCCACAGACACAATGATGGCTGACATCGAGCAATGGCGCTGATCAAGACACCGTTTCGAGGGAGGCACAGGATCGACCGCCTAAGGAAGCAAGGGAACGGCTTTGAAGCAAACATGATACATCATATCATATGGTAAGTGGTAGTGGGCGATTGCTTATGGGAGAAGTTCGGAAAGAGCCTATAAAACAGCGGAACGTAGGAGCGAAAAACAGAAACGGCCGCGTCAACGCTTGAAAAGTGAAAACACAAAAAAGAAACATAAGCCGGCCGGCTGGCAGTTAATCCCGCTAAGTGGCCGCGAGACGGCCGCCGCGCGCCGCTCACCCGCTCTAGGTTAGCGCTGATCTTGCTGAGCTGGTCCAGTGGCCGGAACTGTCGCTCTGGCCACGACAGCTTCTCGGCCAGGGCCTTCTTGTCGGGCAGCTCCTCCAGCCGCGACTGCGGCAGCCATCGGCGCCGGTCAACAGCACGCAATAGCCGCCCACTTCCGCCGCTCACACCGGGGGCACAGTGGCGCGCACCGCCCGTGCCGAAGCGGCAGCTCACCATCTCCCGACAAAAACCGGCGAGCTCACATCGGGGACACAGTGGCGCGCACCGCCCACGCCAAGCGGCAGCTCACCATCTCCTGACAAAAACCGGCGAGCTCACACCGGGGGCACAGTGGCGCGCACCATCCCCGCTGAAGCGGCAGCTCACGATCTCCAGGCAAAAACCGGCGACACGAGCAGACGCGTCCGCTGGCGGCGGCGGCCAGCTGAGACGGTCCCGGCGCCCACAATAGCGCCAGGTTGAGCGGGAGTCGGCCCGATTCAGTGCCACTATTTCAGCTGGGAAACCGGAGCTCGGCCGGAAAGGAAAGACGCGAAAACAACCGAAACGGCTGAATAAAGTCGGAGTGGAATAGTCTGATAGCATCAGGCGCGGTCCCGTAATGGGCTCGGTTCGGGAGAACAGCACAACCAAAGGTCGATCACATGGCACGGTCTGACGTCACAACACGGCCTGACGTCACGGCACGGCCTGACGCCACAGCACGGCCCCACGTGGCATGGCCTGACGTCACAGCATGGTCTGACGTCACGGCGCGGCCTGACGTGACATGGCCTGACGTCACAGCACGGCCTGACGTCACGGCACGGTCTGACGTCACAGCACGGCCTGACGTCACGGCGCGGCCTGACGTGTCCGGCGGCGGCGGTGGCGGCGGCAGGCGGAGCGCGCAGCTCTCGGCAGCAGACCCGCAGGGGCGCCGGCCGGCCGACCGCGCGGCGGGCGGCCCAGTCCCGGGGGATATCAGCACCGCTGGCGCCCGCCATGTCGCACGCCAACGGCCGACAGATACGCGGCCGTACCGATACAATGACCTGCCGGCCAGGCGCCCGACCCCGTCCCCAGGCCTGCGCGACGCGACCCATCGCGACTGTGCGCCGCCTGGGGCAGGGGGGACGACGGAGGGGGAGGACGGGGCGCTCACCTTGGCCACGCTGCTGTTGACGATAAGAGCGCCCTCGTCACTGGGATTCAGCTGCTGCTGTGTGAGCGTCAGCACAGACTCCGTCCAGCCCAGCAGCGCCGCCGTCTGCGTGTGCGCCTCCTGCTCGTCCTCCATGGTGGAGATTCTGCCGGGCCAGGCGACACAACACGGTATCAGCGCAGGGCTCGACATGGCAAGCAGGGCGACAGACGGCATAACCGCAGGGCTCGACATGGCGGGCGGGGCGGCACACGTCATCAGCGCAGGGTTCGACAGGGCGGGCGGAGCCGCAGGTGGCATCAGCGCAGGACTCGACATGGCGGGCGGAGCCACAGACGGCATCAGCGCAGGGTTCGACGGGGCGGGCGGAGCCGCAGACAGGGTTCGACAGGGTTCGCAGGGTTAGCGCAGGGTTCGACATGGCGGGCGGGGCAGCGGACGGCATCAGCGCAGGGCTCGGCATGGTGGGCGGGGCGACAGACGTCATCAGCGCGTGGCTCGGCATGCGCACACCGTTTACCCGCCTGACCTGCTTAGCCCTCATCACCGCCTAACCGAATACCTGAACAAAACACGCGACAAAGCATGTGGCGGCGCTACCCCAAGACCAGCACTGCGAGGTACAAACCGTATGGGCGAGATGCGAACAGACGAGGCTGAAAAACTTATATTATAGCCATAAGATTGCTTCGTCAGCAAAACCCTCCAGCGACGGCTACCGTCCTTAGTAAACACAAATCACAGATGCGTTGTCTACATTTAAGCAGCTTCATTTTTTGCACCAATCCTTCGGCGTTATCATCTTACCGGTCATATGCATGGCACATGACGTGTTTTCTCTATCTTTCCTTTTACCTCCGGTATATTATCGCAACAGATTCTGCATGGCTTGTTATTATGTCCCAACAGGTTTACTCAGTCGGAAGCTTGCAGCCGCGGATCTACGCCTTAAACCTTTAGAATCACGGGGTCTTGATTGCCCACGGTGTTTACCCAGATTACCCACTTCATTGCCCATTTCTGGAAGCGCCCGGGGCGCGTTTCCCCCACAACTGTCATCCTAGCGAGCTGTTACGTTTTAAGCCAACATGCACCGCCGCAGGACACCAGTGGCGTCTTCACCTTCCGACCGCACTCAAAAGTATTAGCATTCCCCGCACACGTACCCGTCTCCCACCAGCTGTTCTCCGAGTCTGCCAGCTGTCTCAAACGGACTCTTGGTGAATCGCAACAGGCCTGACTGCGCTCGCCTTCACCCACTCCATACGGATAGCAGCTCCGCGCCAGCAGCGCAGCCCGCTCGTCTGCCGCCCATCGGCAGGACAAACTTTATGCACTTGGACGGCACGACCTTCCGAGCGCCCCCACAACATGCCCGCGGGGTTCCGCCGCCACCCCAGTCATAACTCCTCGCTGGCGGCGTCCTGCCCACACCCTCGTCGGTCGGAGCCGTCCCCCGGGGCGCCCGGCGCCGGCCGCCCATACATAGTGAAGTGCGGGGCACCGGAAATTGCCCGCGTCCTTCGCAGGGGGCGAGAGTCGAGCACTGGCGCGGCGCTAACCAGATAAAACGTCACCATCCACCGCCCGGGCCGGCGACTCATTCCGCGAAAACAGACGCGTCCGGAGGGAGGCGGCGGCGCTTCCGACCGTCTCACGGCGCCAGTCCGCGGCGCGAGATAAGGCTGTACTGACGACCGGGCCGGGGAACCCGGCAGCAGCGCCGCCACATGGAGGAGCGCCACTGGCGGGGGAGGGAGGGGAGGGGGGGGGGGGGGCAGGCGGTGGAGGTACGACTGGGAACGAACCTTTCACAGCAATGTCCCCCGTGGTGAACAACCACAGTAGACGATTCATTCACCGCTAGCCCTGGGCGTGACACTCCACAGCAGACGCTGCGTCTACCCCCCCCCCCCAACCTCGCCTATGGACGTCAATGGGGTCATCGTCGTCCGGTCATTGTCACCAATGGTCCTGAGACGCCCCGTCATAATAAAGGGGCGCCTGGCGACACGTCACTCAGCCAAGCGCCTTGCCGTCCCGCTGATGCCGCCACCCCGGCGCGGGCCGAGCGGGTACCGCCCGCACCCGCCCCGCACCCCGCCTACGTACCGTTCCCGGCGCGGGCCGAGCAGGTGCCGCCTACACCCGCCCCGCACCCCGCCGACGTACCGTTCCCGGCGCGGGCCGAGCAGGTGCCGCCTACACCCGCCCCGCACCCCGCCGCCGTACCGTTCCCGGCGCGGGCCGAGCAGGTGCCGCCTACACCCGCCCCGCACCCCGCCGACGTACCGTTCCTGGCGCGGGCCGACCGGGTACCGCCCACACCCGCCCCGCCCCGCCCACACCCCACCGACGTACCGTTCACGACGCGCCGCCAGCTCGGCCAGCACGCCCTTCCAGCGCTTGTTGAGGTTCTCGATCTTCTCCAGGAAGGTGGTGGCCTCGGCGGCGGACAGACCGCCGATCACCTCCCGGCTCGCCGACGAGATGGCCGTGTACACGCTGCGGGCGGGGTCACCGGTCAGCCGGCCGCCCGGCAGCCGCCGACGACAGCGCAGGTGCGCCGTCAGCACTGACAGCGTGCGAACACCGCACGGATGGACTGATGCCGGCATGACGCGGCCAGAGACGCGATCCAACCCCAGCATTGCACTGGCCGGTTAGTGGTAAGGATCATCTGAAAGCGGCGGGTAAAAGTGCGCCTTGGGCATGGTAAACACTTGACTCCAGTCAAGTAAACCAATAACGGTGCGGTGATATAGCTGTGAGGAGAAATATATGTGATCAAAGCCATGCTGAGTGCACTTATTTCATTCCGACGGAAACTGCACGGCCACTTCCCGCTGCTCTGCTCATCAGACCACGCGTCAGAACGATGCAGGCAAGCGATGTCGCTTTACAGAAGACGGCTGGTCACGTGGGTTCCGAAGGATTCCTGCGAAAGACCAGCACCAGCCTTCCCACGCTGCCATTGGTTACTCGATTTCGATCAGTTCAAATGCGGACCGGAAATCGAAGTTCACGGCCCTGTGCCTCATCAGCGGCGACGCCAGCCATGTACGCGGTAAGTTACACGAAGTTGCCAGCTTTACCGGGGATCGCTGTCACGATGATGAAGGGATCAGCAGCAGGATGAAAGATCCGCAGCTGACCTTCTCAAGCGTTCGGCGCCAAAGCCCCTGGCGTCCTCCCTCCTGACTTGCGGCTGACGGGCTCTTCCGGGGCCGTTGGGGGCGACACAATCCTCCACCCGTCCACAGAGGACCGCTCCAGGTCAGCCCCGGCCCGCCACCCGCCTCCCTGATGGGGCCGCTGGGGGCGACACTCCCCATCCCCCCCCCCCCGACGTCCCCAGGGAACTGCCTCCGGCCAGCTCCGGTCCGCCGCCCGCCTCCCCCCTGAGGTCACTGGAGGCAACCCCCACCCCCACCCACCCGCCGTCCTCGGAGAACCGCTCCCGGCCAGACCCGGCCCGCCGCCCGCCACCAATAACCGTTCAATGACGGAAACACTTATCGGCGGACGGTCCTAATGGCGCCGCCGCACACTTCTCGGAAGCATTCGAACGGGGACGCGGCGCCGCGCCGTTCGGCCGACTAATTTTCGCGCCACGCTCGCCGTTTTGGGCCGCCTTCCGCGCGTTGACAAAGCCCAGGCCGTCGCCGTCGTCGGCTGAAAACGGCCGCCCCATGTGGCGGGAGCGGCCGCCCGGCGACCGAGACGGGCTGCCATCGGCCCGAGAGCGGCCTGAGCGCGAGGCGGGGGTGCCGGTGGCGTCCAGCGCAGACGAACAGACAAGCGCGGGATTTCGGCGCGGAATTACATTGCTGAAGGTTATGTCTCGCCACATATCGCACCATGGGGCAACAGCTGCAAACGGTGCAAAGCGGCAGATGGGTGCTCTTCGACGACGTAAAAACGGAGTACGTACAAGCAATCAATTTCCAAATACCAGACGTAAGACGTGCGGGGGTTCGTGAAGCTATGCATTTCCGCGTCAGCTCCGTGATAATGTGAGGGTCCGACCAGATACAAAATGCTAACACGGCCTTCGGCTGCGACCGCATTAGACTGGCAGGTTAGCCACCATCGAAATCGGCCCACCCGAGCTCGGAAGTCAAAACCTAATCAGACCGGACTGAACCTGCTGGCAGGTCAGCCACCATCGAACTGGCCGAGCTCGGAAGTCAAACCCTAATCAGACCGGACTGAACCTGATCACAGAAAATTCGTAGACGGCCACATTTACACAGCTGGAAACGAGCCCAATGAAAAACATAATCGGCCCGAGGATCGACTGCACAGCCTAAGGTATGTATCCCATCCCGACGGACCGGCGGACCACAGTCGGCCTGGCAGCTTGCCGTCGGCCAGCAGGCTCCCCGCCCGAGCGTCGGCCACCGGCTCCGGCCCCAGCCCGGTCCCGGGCGCACTCACTTGTGCTTGACGGTGACCTGTTTCTCGAGCTCTTTCTGACAGGCGCGCAGCTGCGGCAGCTGGGCGGTGCCAAGCCGGCGCGTCTCAGTGATGCGCGCCTCGGCCGTCACCAGCCACTGGCCGAACTCGTGCATGTTCTCCTGCAGCGCGCGCCACGTGTCGCGGCACCGGCACCAGTTGCTGCGGGGTCAGAGGAGTCAGACGCAGAGTCACAGGGGTCAGACGCGGAGTCAGAGGAGTCAGGCGCGGAGTCAGAGACGCCGGATCAGACGCTGCGTAGTCAGAGGAGTCAGGCGCAGAGTCATAGGTATCGGCACCAGTTGCTGCAGCGGACGCCGGCATCAGAATCAGAGTCGGTGCCCGGTCAGACAACCCAATATCGCAGAAAACGCGCCACTGATCCGCCACACGGCGCTGCTGGCCGCCTGAGAGAGCCGAGGCCTGGCTGAGTATCAGCCCACCAGCGCCACCTATGCGACAATGGTAATGGGGGGCAACATCTACCGCTAGAGGTTCCACACTGAGTGAGCTAGGAGATTGCGACTGTCATGCTCGCCCTACCCCGTGGCGCTACTGGTGGCCCTGATGAAACTCTGACTGTATGCCCACCTGTGACACTCCTGGTAGCCCTGCTGCAGCTGTGACTGTATGCCCACCTGTGACGCTCCTGGTAGCCCTGCTGCAGCTGTGACCGTCTGCCCACCTGTGACACTCCTGGTAGCCCTGCTGCAGCTGTGACCGTCTGCCCACCTGTGACGCTCCTGGTAGCCCTGCTGCAGCTGTGACCGTCTGCCCGCCTGTGACGCTCCTGGTAGTCCTGCTGCAGCTGTGACCGTCTGCCCACCTGTGACGCTCCTGGTAGTCCTGCTGCAGCTGTGACTGTCTGCCCACCTGTGACACTCCTGGTAGCCCTGCTGCAGCCGTGACCGTATGCCCACCTGTGACGCTCCTGGTAGCCCTGCTGCAGCTGTGACCGTCTGCCCACCTGTGACGCTCCTGGTAGTCCTGCTGCAGCTGTGACTGTCTGCCCACCTGTGACACTCCTGGTAGCCCTGCTGCAGCCGTGACCGTATGCCCACCTGTGACGCTCCTGGTAGCCCTGCTGCAGCTGTGACCGTATGCCCACCTGTGACACTCCTGGTAGCCCTGCTGCAGCTGTGACCGTCTGCCCACCTGTGACGCTCCTGGTAGCCCTGCTGCAGCTGTGACCGTCTGCCCACCTGTGACGCTCCTGGTAGTCCTGCTGCAGCTGTGACCGTATGCCCACCTGTGACGCCCCTGGTAGCCCTGCTGCAGCTGTGACCGTCTGCCCACCTGTGACGCTCCTGGTAGCCCTGCTGCAGCTGTGACCGTCTGCCCACCTGTGACGCTCCTGGTAGCCCTGCTGCAGCTGTGACCGTCTGCCCACCTGTGACGCTCCTGGTAGCCCTGCTGCAGCTGGCGCCAGTCGTCGCGCAGCTTGTCGGCCGCCCGCTGCGCCATCTGCCGCTGCGCCGTGTCAGCGGAGGTCAGCGATGCCAGGTCCGTCAGCTGCTCGTCCACGCGCGGCTCCAGCGCGTCCATCGCCCCGCGGATGCTCTGTCAAAGACGCGCGTCTCGCGTCACAAGCGGCCGCCGTCCATCGGCAGGGTGACCACAGCTGTGTAGGCGCTCAGTAATGACTCGTAACGCTTACATAGTGGCCAACGCTAGCAGGCCACGATGTTGCGCGCCAGCTGTTCTGAGCGAAGGCCGTTATCACGCGTATGCGCAGCTACGGACGTCGTCAGCAAATCGGACGCCGAGACGAGGCGCCACCGAACCCAGGTGGCGGTTAGTTGTCAATGCCGGAGACATTCCTTGCTCTGCACAGAGCGCGCCGGCTGTGATGATGATGATGATGATGATTTGGGCTTTGAGGCGCACCGACAGCTGGGTGTCAGCGGACCTCGGAGTCCGGCGGCGGGCGGCGGGCGGCGGGCGGCGGGCGGCGCCGGACCGGCCGTACCTTGAGCGCCTCCTCGCGGGCGTTGAACCGCTCGTACTGCCGGACGCCGATGGGGGCCGAGGCCAGCTGGCGCTGCACGGTGGCCACCGCCTCGCGGACCGCACTGACGCGGCCGGCGAACGCCGCCGCCGGCGACAGCGCCGCCTGCGGACGGAGGTCCGCTGGTGACGCAGGCTCAGGGGGCACCGGTCACGAGGGCCGCACAGGGGCCAGGGCCACAGGCCGGGCTAATGATCGGCGGTCCTGGCCAGGCAAGGGTTGGCAGGAGGCACGCTGCCTGCTGGCGAAGGTACCGCCTGTGAGAAGCGTGGCGCAAGCGTCATCCAAGGGTCAGGACGCACAGGTGACAAGACTGACACCGGGATCAGGAGGCACCGCCACCAACGCGACAGTGCGCGTGTTGCCCCGGGGCGCAGGCGTCGCAGCAAGCGCCGGGTCATGAGACACTGTCACGCTCACGGGTCGCCACCAGGGCTACCAGCAGGGTCACAAAGAAGCGGGTAAGTGACGGCGTCCGTTCACGCATGCTTGCCAAGACTGACGCCGCGTGCCACGGATACCCGGCGACACAGGGGCACGCGCGAGTGGGGCGGAAGACATACCGCGAGGACGGCCGGAGGCTCGCAGACACACAGACACGCCCGAAATACGCCAGGGGACAGCGCGGAGCGACCCGAAATATCACATCAGGCCATACGGCACGAGAGCGGCCAGACACCCGGGAACACGCGACGAGGGCCGTGGCATTTGCCGACACTCCCGGCGCACCAGAGCCCCAGACACATTGCACACTCAATCTCTGAGCGTTGGACAGCCCACTGGAATACGAAGGCAACAAGGTCGAAGCACAGCAGGGCCTCGTGTGTGCTTCCCAGCGAGTGAGACGCAGTCGGCACTGAAGGCGGAGCGTCTTGTTTCCCAGACACTGGGTACATGAGTGCCCGTTAGCCGGCCACTGGGTACATGAGCGCCCGTTAGACGGCCATTAGGTACATAAGCACCCCGTTAGCCGGCCACTGGGTACATACATGCCCCGTTAGCCGGCCACTCGGTACATGCGTGCCCCGTTAGCCGACGACAGCGCATCACAGGGCTCAGATCGTCGCAACAGTTCCGGACTCCGCTACAGCGTCGATGGCCTTCCAGGCACGGCCGCCGAGCAGCACATGCATCTGGTCGGACGCCAGCGCCGTTCGCGGCTGCCAGAGGAGCTCCGCCTGCCTGCCGTGCCCGCGCGCGGTGCGACAGCCGACACTCACCTGGCCGTCGATCGCCTTCGCCTCCATGACCTTCTGGTACTGCTTGCAGCGGTCCTGCGCGGCCTTCCAGCGCTGGCTGAGGTCGTCCAGGATGGTGGCCAGCTTGTCGCGGTCCTGGCCCGTCAGGTCGGCCGCCTCCCAGCGCACCGACTCCAGCTCCACACCGCGCTCGCCGATCTCCTCCTGCAGCGCCTGCGCCGCGCGCACGTCACACGTTAAGCCACGTCACGTCACGTCACGTCACGTCACGTCACGACTGCGCTCGGCGGCGCAGTCGCCCGGCGCGGCCGGAGCTGATCGGCGGCGGCGTTCGGCTCGTTTAGCGCGCGCTTTCTGGTGGAGACGGAGCGAGTGCGGACGCCTGGTGAGAGCGAGAGACAGAGGGGGCGGAGAGAGCGAGGACGCCTGGTGAGAGTGAGAGACAGAGGACGACGTGCCTTTTGCTGCGCCAGGTCGTTGTTGGCCGCCTCCAGACGCGCGTTGACCTGCAGCAGCCAGCGCTCGATGTCCTCCAGCTGCTGCTTGCAGTGTCGACTGATCGAGTCCAGACGCTGGTAGGTCAGGCGCCGCACCTGAAACCACAGCGGCAAAGGTCACGACTCGCCGGCGGCGGCGCAGGGTCACCAGACGGCGCCAGGCGCCGGTGTCGGGGCCAGGAGCGGGCCGCAGCGGTGCACGGCTCTGCGCTGCGCACATGGGAGGGTGCTGAGTACATGCGGCGACCGCCAGAACTATGACACGTGGTAGCACGTCTTGTGGGGTTATTGCCGGGAGCACATCTTGTGGGGTTATTGCCAGCATACACTAGCTGAGACACACCAGTCCAGAAAACGAACCGAGATTAAGTTCACCCAGCACCAACTGTCATATGGCTGTCTTCCCAGAGATCAGCAGTCAGCACAACCTTATGACACCGGCGAGGCTTCCAGGTCACCGAACGGCAAGGCTGCGGCAATGGGTCGACAGCGGTCGTAAGACGTCCTCACCCGGCGTCACGGGAGGCCAAAGGTCCCCACCATATATTAGAGGAAGCACACGTCACCACACGGCATCAGTGGGGCTCACACGTCACCACAGGCGCCAGTGAAGCTCACGCGTCACCACATGGCACCAGTGGGGCTCACACGTTACCACACGGCACCAGTGGGGCTCACGCGTCACCACACGGCATCAGTGGGGCTCACACGTCACCACAAGGCATCAGCGGAGCTCACGCGTCACCACACGGCGCCAGTGGGGCTCACACGTCACCACACGGCACCACACGGCACCAGTGGGGCTCACGCGTCACGACCGACCCGCGCCGGCATCGGTGGCCGCGGGGGCCGCGGCGCGTGGCTCGCACCGTCGCCGTGGCGGTCGGTGTGTCGCGTCGCGTCGCGCCGGCCGGCGTCCGGCCGACATCGACGGTTAGCGCTCCATCAGGCGCGGACGTTGCATCGGCGCGCCGGGCGCGGCGGCGTCGCGCGGAATCCGGCGGCCCGTGCCAGCCGGTCGCCTGACGGACGACGGAAGGCCGACCGATGACCGGCCGCCGCCCCGGTCCGGCGGCCGGCCCCGCCGGCTGCCGAGGCAGGCCCGGCCGAGATCGGCGGCGACTGGGCAGGCCCGGCGGCAACGGCGGCAACGGTGGCAACTGCCGCCGCGGAAGTGGACTGCTGAAGCAGGGCCGGCCGAGATCGGCGGCGCCTGGGCAAGTCCGGCGGCAACGGCGGCAACGGTGGCAACTGCCGCCGCGGAAGTGGACTGCCGAAGCAGGGCCGGCCGAGATCGGCGGCGCCTGGGCAGGCCCGGCGGCAACGGTGACAACCGCCGCCGCGGACGCGGACGCGGACGCTGAAGGCGAGCCTGACGATGCGCGGGTGAGGGATTTCAGCGAGTCCAGCTTGCGGAGATGACCAGTGGCAACGGTGACAAGAGGCAATAACGGAGAAGTTCAAAGAGCCAGCGACCGTGACGTAGCCTTCAAGCACCTTTGGCTGCGGGGAGGGAGTCCATAATGAGTGTGATGTTAAAATCAATGCAGAGCAATGGGGCCAAATAAAGAACTTCCGGCAGCAGGCTTGTCTGACGGGCTTCTATTTGGGCGACATCAAACAGAAGCCAGCGAAAGTAAGAACTCCCGGAGGACCCTGCAGAGGGGACCTCTATCGATACTTTAACACGGCTGTGAAAATCCGTTGACTGTGCTCGGCCGGCAATGTAAGTGCGCCAACTCCGGTCAGGTCCCGTCAGACGCGCGGAGGACGGCCGCAGGCCGCGGACCTGCCGCTCCAGACAGCTCCGGTCAGGTCCCGACAGACGCGCGGAGGACGGCCGCAGGCCGCGGACCTGCCGCTCCAGACAGCTCCGGTCAGGGTCCCGACAGACGCGCGGAGGACGGGCCGCAGGCCGCGGACCTGCCGCTCCAGACAGCTCCGGTCAGGTCCCGTCAGACGCGCAGAGGAGGGCCGCAGGCCGCGGACCTGCCGCTCCAAACAGCTCCGGTCAGGTTCCGTCAGACGCGCAGAGGAGGGCCGCAGGCCGCGGACCTGCCGCTCCAGACAGCTCCGGTCTGCCGTCGAGCTCGGCCGGATCACGCGGGCGACGCCGTACGTCCGAAGGCCGGCCAGACCCTCGCACACCCCTCTCAGCCAGTCGCCTCCGCTACGACGCCTCGGTTTTCTCTCCGCCTGTGGGAGGCGTTCGATGGCGGGCACCGGATGCGGCGGCGGGACGGACCAGTCGGCCTCGGTGCAGCCGCCAGCACTCGCCTGGACGGCGTCGGAAGGCTGGGGACGGCCAGAGACGCTGTCCGCTCCTTGGGTACGGTGCCAGACCGGTGGAGCCAAGAAACGTCCTCCACTTCCCCGAGCAGCGACGGACGGGCGCGGGCTAGGGAGAGCCTGTCGCTGCCCCGAGCGGCGATGGAAGGGTGCGGACTAGCGAGAGCCCACCGCTGCCCCGAGCGGCGACGGACGGGTGAGGACTAGAGAGACCGTCGCTGCCCCGAGCGGCGACGGACGGGCGGGGCTAGAGAGAGACCGTCGCTGCCCCGAGCGGCGACGGACGGCCGGGACTAGAGAGATCGTCGCTGCCCCGAGCGGCGACGGACGGGCGGGGCTAGAGAGAGGCCGTCGCTGCCCCGAGCGGCGACGGACGGCCGGGACTAGAGAGACCGTCGCTGCCCCGAGCGGCGACGGACGGGCGGGGGCGGGCGGCGCCGCTATTTACGGCTCGCCGGCCGCTGACTCAGCGGCGCCTCTGTCACCGGCCCGGTAATTGTACCGGGCCGAGACTCCCGGCGGCAAACAGCCCGTCCGTCAGAGGCGGCCGCGGCGCCGGCGACCGAAACACGCCAGCTGAACGGCCAGCAGCGCGGCACAGCAGGCGAGGCCGCGCGCGCGCGTCCCATTACAACACTAACACAGCGGGTGCTGTCCGCCTCGCTGCCTTTCATTGCAGCGGGGCGATACGCGGCACGTACGTGCGCTGAGCGCGGTGATTTGGGGCGCAATCAACAACGGCTGCAGCTCGGTAACAGCTTTCGAATCGGTCCCAATGTCTGGTCCACAGCCACAGGGGAACGGCCGACAGCCGTCACCGATAGGCCTCTGATCACTACTGGAGCCACCTCGCACATCCGTGATTCGTGAAACCACCGCCGGAAGGGAGGTGTTCCGCCCGGTGTGGTCCCACCCCGACTCCGGGCCTGTGCTCCTGCTTCCTTTCTGGACGCGTCGGTCATGATCCCACTGCCGCAAGAGGCCGCCCGTTCGGATATCATACACAGCTTTTGCCGGTGCAAGGTGCAGAGCTCTTCCGACCGAACGTGGAGGAAGGTCAACTAACACCATGAGCCACACGGCTGTTCGGTGCCTTATGATTATTATGTTGTTCACTTGAGGCAAGCGGTTGCTAACTTAACTCAACAAGATCGTCGAAATAGCTCGGAAAGTGTGAAATTATCCTGAATGTGTTGCGGTGCATGCCTCAGGATGATCAATGGCACCCATCCCGCAAGCGATATGCTCAAGAGAGGCACCACCTTGCTGAATCCGTTTCCGATCACAAGGACATTCAAAGCGCACCGAAAATACAAGATATTTCATTCTTAATGTAACCAGACATAAGCCATAGCTTTGATGTTTAAGTTCCCCTAAACAATTTAGGAACGGGGTTCGCGTCAGTTCCATAAAACGGTCGGCAGCCGAAAATGAGCGAGGGTGTTGAAATTCAGATCGGATATTTTGGGCCGAAATAAGCAAACTTGCTACCCTCGTATACAGATTTCTTCTGCCGGTTGATCACTAGGGCAGGGAATGTTAATAAATGAATCAGGCACCCCACGCCGAGAGGGCGCGGAAGTTGCAAGAGTTCATCCACCTCCCAGTGATACACGCAGGCATGCTTGAAACTACGGTATCCACGCGGGGATTTCCAGAAAGGAACGAATTAGGACGAATAGACAACAGACTAGCAGCATCAGTATACTTAAGATTCCTTAAAAAACCATGTCAGAAGAGTGGACCACCAAACAAATGAAAGCCTTATCCGATAGACGTCCTGCAACTACCCATTGCAACATTGAAGGACCAAGCTAGGATTGCAGTCAGGCTTTGGAACTGGAGCGCCTGACTGACCTCATGTTCAGACTGAACCAGACTGTCCAACGCTTTTCTATTGTGGTACGCTGACGTAATGTTTCTGATGTTAGAAACGTTGATGCAGATGTTCCAAGTGTTCTTTCCCATCACAGGAAATCCCCTGGAGTATCCTATGAACGGCCCTAGATTTCTAGTCCCTGTACAAAGTATTGGCGGATATTGACGCAAATCTTGGCGATTAATGATACCCGTATTAATTTCAGTAAAATGGCGTGTAGTCAGTGTAGTTCGGTTTAAGGGGGTCGGCTGACGCAAACGACATTACTCAAGGCTCGATCCGTACTGCCGAATGGTCTACTTATCACCTTACATTGACAACGTGCATATGTTGCGGGGAGCGAAGCTTCTATCACGCGCGCCGTATTGCAACTTGCAAGCGCGACGAAGCTGTTCGCACAAACTGATAATCCGTGTTGTTGAGGGCTGTCAATATCCATTATAGGTTATTTACACATGCGTTACACATTCGCATGCCAATATCCTCGGGTAATGTCGCACTGGGCAGAACAGACCGCTTCAATTTAAGTTGTGTGCTATTTACAGCAAAACAAGCGCACCTGTTTTGGGCCAATATATCTCCGCAGTTTTCCGTGACGGCGACATTTTTTCTTCAAAAGGTCCAAACCTCAACTTGGCCGTATTTCTAGGAGCAGCGTCCGCGGTAAGCAGTACTAGTTGTGTGAGCCCTGACCATACGGCCCGATGGTGAAATTCCGGGTTAATGGTAACATGTCGCGTCGAAAGCTTAACGCATCAGACTTAACTTCCAGCGTAAAGATCACGCGTACAGCATGACCCCTTCCATGCAACCCCGCACGATGGGACCACGTCCGTTGCAGTGCCTAAGAAACCGAAAGGGGCCGTTGAGCCCCATAGCGGAACAGACAGCGTGGGGGGGGGGGGGATCGTGAGCAGTAAGTGCTCAGTGTTTGTCAGCAATATATGAGGGGGTGAGAGTTGTTTGACAGTAGTTGCGGTGGTGAGCGATCGTGAACATTGCGTACCGAGTGACTAGATCATCACTTTGATATTAGGTCGAGATACACTTTAAATGTAATTTAGTTTTTTGTAAAAATTCCGACGACTGAAAAGGGCCCAGGTTCGAGAGCGACGGCAGCTGCAGTGGCGGGCGTTCATCAGCACTGGCCACGATGGCGGGTCCGGTCGGGTGACGTGACCCCCGGCGGAACTACCCCGCAGCCCCGGGCGGCGCTCGCTGCCCGGGCCCGGTGACCTGACGGGTGACCCCGAGGCGGGGTCACGGCCAGTGATCCCCGGGCTGCCACTGCCGGCTGACAGACAGCGGCAGTCCCGCCCGGCCTGCCGGCGGCAGGTCAGCTGCCCGGTGGCGCGTGCTCACCGTGAGAGCGCCAGCGGCATCAGTCCGCCGCCGCCGCGCGGAGCAGACACCGCCAGCGAGCTCGTGGCCGGGACAGAGGTGCCCGGATCAGGATCAGCGGAGGATACCAGCTGTCCGGCAGCGTAATGGGCAGAGTAATACGCCCGCCACCAACGGAACTCCGCTGATACAGCCCCAGTCAGGCCGGCCAGCAACACGAGACGTCCGGAGACGGACAGAGACAGGGCGGCGTTGACCAGAACCACGCTAAACCGCCGCCCGTCGCGCCCGGGCAAACGCCCTTCAGTCAGGGACCCGCCGCCTC